TATATATATATATATATATAGAGAGAGAGAGAGAGAGAGAGAGAGAGAGAGAGAGAGTGATAAACTGAGAGGGGATTTAAAATATATACTTTTTTTATCCCAATAAGTGAACTCGTTTTAATTGCATCGTATATATAGTTTTCAGTCTTGAAAATCCGTTTTTTTTTTTGGGGGGGGGGGGTGGTAGCCCCCTTTTCCCTTAACATTGGTCTGTAATAGAGCGTTTCGGGAAACATTTTGTAGCAATGATAACTGCTAATACATAAATTTGCATATCCAATTATCATAGTCTTGGTTACTTCATGTGCGGAACCAATACATTTAAAAAAAATAAAATGTTTGTGCGACAGGAGTTGGAATAGTTTTTTTGCCAATGATTTATGGCACGCGCGTCGCGTACGATAGCCGTTCGTATAACCGGTGCTTTGGCTAATCGACGTCCCACTCTGTACGTCCATGACGCCAGGTGACGTCGGCCGTCATAAAACAACGCCTGGCCGAGTCCGAGACGACCGAGGAGAAGATCAGCGTGGCCAGAGAGAAGTACCGCTGTGTGGCCGAGAGAGGCTCCGTCATGTACTTTGTGGTGGCGGACATTGGCGAGGTGGACCCCATGTACCAGTTCTCACTCAAATACTTCAAACAGGTTGGCCTTTCTTTTCACCAGTTTTTTTGTTTTTTTTCAATGGACTTTTATTGCTTGCTAATTGTGGATGTCCAGTTAAATACGTTCTAATAAATTGTGTCTTTAAACCCATTGAAATTGTAGTTCATTTAACTATTTTTAGCGTATCGCGCGCCACATCATGGTACTTTATATTTAAATATTTTTTTATTTTTTTTTTATTTAAACGCTTTGGCTAGATAGCAAGCGTGAAGGCAACTTAATATTTGGAAATAAATTACTGGGCGTTAAAATTTTTAACACATTTTTGTGAATCAAACTGTATTCCTTTTGTATATTTGTAACTGCTTTCGGGGAGATATCCTGTGAAAATTTTCTAATCATATGGTAGTGTTAAAGAATTTTTTCATTCATAAAAATGGACGGAATATAAGAGCAACAATCCATTATCTTCCAAAATCTTTGCTGAATAAGATGATTTGTTTTATCGCTCTGTCTCTTCCACACACAAAAAAAGCTCTTTAATAATACAATTGCGACCAGTGAAAAGTCCGATGATCTGGCGGTCCGCCTGGAAACATGCATGGAGGAGACCACGACCTGCATCTACAAAAATGTGGCCAGGTACCTTGAACAAAATTAGTATTTTTAAAACAAAAAAAAATTGATTGATGTCCGAATTAGCAGTAGGTGTCAGAATAATGTGGATAAGCTACGAGGGATCTGCGTGTGCATCTTTTGGTCCCCGAGCACATTCACAAATAAAGAACCAACCAATCCTACAGATGTAAGCTAATTGCTTTACAGTATGTTTTATGTAATTCAGATGTCAAAAAAAAAAAAAAAAAAAAAAAAAAAAAAAAAAAAAAAGAAAAAAAAAAAAAAAAAAAAAAAAAAAAAAAAAAAAACCAACCAATCCAAAAGAGGTAAGGTAATAAATTTACAAAATGTTTTATGTAATTCAAAAATAAAAAAAAAAAAAAAAAAAAAAAAAAAAAAAGGTGAGGGGACTACAGTATGAGACCCAAAAAATAAAAAAAAAAAAAAAAAAAAAAAAAAAAAAAAAAAAAAGGTGAGGGGACTACAGTATGAGACCCCCTCCAAACAAAGTTTGCATTTCCAAGCAGAACAAGATGCACTCTTTAAGTTTTCACACTTGAGTTTTAAAATAAAAGTTTTAAAAAGCATATGAACTATGCAATAGACTTCTCGGTTCAGAAAACTACATCAATAATAAAATTTGAAAATTTTAAGGTGCAACTACATTCATAGATATATCCATACCATTTCCAGGCGTGTCATCCTATCCACATATCCATACCATTTCCAGACGTGACATCCTATCCACATATCCATACCAATTCCGGACGTGTCATCCTATCCACATATCCATACTCTTTCCTGACGTGTCACCCTATCCACAGAGGTTTGTTTGAGAAACACAAACTCGTCTTCTCATTCCTGCTCTGCTCCGAGATCATGAAAACGGAGGGGGAGATTGCCCAGGCCGAGTGGAGTTTCTTTCTACGTGGCCCCGTGACTGGCTTGGATAAGGTAAAACGTCGGCACGGCAACTCCCCGTGACCGTTGGTACCGTAACACCCCGGTTACCGTTGGTACAGTAACACCCTTTGACCGTTGGTACAGAAAAACCCCGTGACCGTTGGTACAGTAATACCATGTGACCGTTGGTACAGTAACACCATGTGACCGTTGGTACCGTAACACCCTTTGACCGTTGGTACAGAAAAACCCCGTGACCGTTGGTACAGTAACACCATGTGACCGTTGGTACAGTAACACCCTGTGACCGTTGGTACAGTAACACTCCGGTTACCGTTGGTACAGTAACACTCCGGTTTCTGTTGGTACAATAACACTCCGGTTACCGTTGGTACAGTAACACTCCGGTTACCGTTGGTACAGTAACACTCCGGTTACCGTTGGTACAGTAACACTCCGGTTACCGTTGGTACAGTAACACTCCGGTTACCGTTGGTACAGTTACACCCCGTGACCATAGGTACAGTAACATCCCGAGACCGCTAAATCAGTCTGACTGGAAATCATTAAATTCTCAGAGCAATCACAAAATGTATTGATAATTAAGTTACCGTATTTATTGGCGTATAACAAGCACCTCAATTTAAGAAGGACATTTCGGGAGAGAAACAAAACTATAAACATTTTATCGGCGTGTAACACGCACACATCATTTCCCCCCTATTTTCAGGGCGAGAAAGTGCGTGTTATACGCCAATAAATACGGTATATAGGTCCATATAAAAGACTGGAGAGGTGGCCACGTTGACGAGAAAATCTTTATCAATGGGTCATTTGATGCATCAAGAACTTTTAATTAATATAATCAACTTTAGGGTGGCAGGCTATACCATGGATTTAGGATTCTACGACTTTCAGTCAATAACAACAGAACACCTTTAAAAAAAAAAAAAAAAAATTGAAATTCTGTGTAATGTAAATTTATTTTGTTGTGTTGTGAGACCCCAAATTTTTGTTTATGGTTCTGCGCCTAGACTCTAACTCCTCCAGAACAGCGCTCCATAGTCCTGTGTCGGACCACACAGGAGCCCTGAAATGGGGTTACATCTCTGACATTGGGGTCTAGGGGTCATGCGACTTCCGTCTTCAGTTCGGTGTGATCATGCGACAGTTCCGCTGCCACTGATACGCTTCTCGTTAAATTTTACCAAGCTCGTATAAAGTAATTAAACAAAGGAACGAATTGTTACGGCTTGAAAACAAAAGACAAGACGGAATAAAATACTGTATGAAATACTGTATAAAATGTTTTATGAAATACTGTATAAAATACTGTGTAAAAAAACCTTATAAAATACTGTATACAATAATTTATAAATACTGTATAAAATACTGTATAAAATGCTGTATAAAATAGTGTATAAAATAGTGTATGAAATACTGTATAAAATACTGTATAAAATACCGTATAAAATACTTCAAAAATACTGTATAAAATACCGTATAAAGTACCATATTAAATGCTTCAAAAATACTGTATAAAATACCGTATAAAATACTGTATAAAATATGGTATAAAATACTGTATAAAATACTGTATAAAATACCGTATGAAATACTGTATAAAATACCGTACAAAATATCGTATAAAATACTGTATACAATAATTTATAAATACTGTATAAAATACTGTATAAAATACTGTATATAATACTTATATACTGTATAAAATACTGCATAAAATACTGTATAAAATAGTGTATGAAATACTGTATAAAATACTGTATACAATACTGTATAAAATAGTGTATGAAATACTGCATAAAATAGTGTATAAAATAGTGTATGAAATACTGTATAAAATACCGTATAAATTACTGTTGTTTGTTTCTTTCTTTCCAGCAAACCACCCCCAAACCCGAACACACGCCGTGGATCAGCTTGAACACATGGAAGATGGCGTGTGAGCTGAGCGAATCTTTCGAAGACTTCAACTATCTCTTCTACGACCTGAACAAGACCCCAGTTTGGATCAGGCTGGGTGAAGCGTTTGAGGTATAGGAGCCCGACGCCGGACTCCATTGAGACGTCATCGAAGCGGCAGTGTCATGGCAGCTTGTATTGTGCCCCATACAAGCTCCCGTGTCTGTGACTAGGATGGCCATTTAACATTCCTTTTTGTCAGTGATTCTCAACCTTCCTAATGCCACGACGTTTTAATACAGTTTCTCATGTTGTGGTGACACCCCACACCATAAAATTATATTCGTTGCTACTTTATAAACATGTGTTTTCCGATGGTCTTAGGCGACCCCGGTGTAATGGTCGTTCGCCCGCCAAAAGGGGTCGCGATCCATAGGTTGAGAACCGCTGGTTTAAGCAGATGAGTAGATTTTCTTATAAAATTAAACATCGGGGGGGGGGTGGGTGCGACTTTCTACAGAGGCTGTAAATAGAATAAGTATTTGGCTTCTCTGTCATTCCATTTGCCTTGAAAATGGACTATTAGGAACGACATGTATAACTATAAATATGAATGTAGTCGTTTTATTAACAAGTGAAATGCATTTAAATTGTATTCAAGACTGATATCCCCCAAAACTTTTTTTTTAATTACAAAAAAAAATGTTAAACTATTTTTAGACTATTTGTCCTTCCTAAGTCATGAAAACATTTTTTTGAAGAAAAAACATTACTGTTGACTTCTCTCTTTGAATTTCAAAATGTGACCGTCTTGCCCAGGTCCGAGCGAACCCCGCCCCAGAACGCTTCCACTACTCCGTGCTGGAGCCCCCACCCTACAAGGAGGGGGCGTTACCGAAGCCAAACATGGTCAACGGGAACTGGAACGATCGGCTGACCGCCTTTCAGAAACTCATGTTCGTTAAGGTCTTCCGGGAGGAAAAGGTAGGTCCCATTATGGATCATGGATACGTTGTTGTTGTTTTTCTGAAACAAACATATTTTCGCGATTTTTTTTTTTCTGAAACCAACATATTTTTGAGACCAAAGTTTAAAAATTTTATGCGTATTCAATTATTTTTTTTCATCCCACCAATGATGAAACAGATAAAACTAACGTTAAATTTATATATATATATATATATATATATACGCTTCTGTTGTAACTCGTGGACTGCTTCCTANATATATATATATATATATATATATATATATATATATATATATATATATATATATATATATATATATTATATATTGTGACGTCCAGGAACAATTAATTATTTTATACCTTTTTAACTTAATTTTTGTTATAATTATTTTTGGGTTAAAATGAGGTCTTACTTTATTATTATTATTTTGTTTTAAAATTCTTTGAAAAAGATAATGTCTCCGATACCTTCAAATTAGGAAATGAGCGAAACAAAGTATGGGAAAACCTTAGGGGAAAAAAAAGGGGGGGAGGGGGGCACAATAAAACAACGAACGTGTCGGCAGGGAACCTTGTTCAGCGAACAAACAACAGTCTAAACAATGATAAATCTTCAAAAATAAACAGTTTGTTGAATTTTAGTGTCCGAGATGGCCGCAAGAGGAAAGTGATATTATAGAAATTAAGAAAAAGAAACGGATAAAAATGCTTAAATTCTTTTCATCGAAATATTTTCTGTCTTGAGCCATTAAAGTGAAAGATTTTCCCTGTTGATGTTTTGGGCGCTGCTTACTTTGCTGAATCATGACAATAATCGTTTCCCCTCTCTCTCTCTCACTCTCTCTCTCTCTCTCTCTCACTCTCTCACTCTCTCTCTTTCTCTATGTCTCTCTATCTCTCTCTCTCCCCCTCTCTCACTCCCCCCTCTTTCACTCCCCCCCCCCTCCCAAGATGTTTTGGGCGCTGCTTACTTTGCTGAATCATGACAATTATCGTTTCCCCTCTCTCTCTCTCCCTCTCTCTCTCTCTCTCTCTCACTCTCTCACTCTCTCTCTTTCTCTATGTCTCTCTATCTCTCTCTCTCCCCCTCTCTCACTCCCCCCTCTTTCACTCCCCCCCCCCTCCCAAAACCAGATTACCTTCGCTATAACCGAATTCGTCGCCGAATGCCTCGGAAAGCAGTTTGTCGAAAGCCCGGCCGTGTCGCTGCCCGAGTTGTACGAAAGCATGTCGAAAGTGTCGCCCCTGGTGTTTGTGCTGTCGTCAGGATCGGATCCCATGGGCGCCTTCCTGAGATTTGCCAAAGAAATGGACGTGCTAGAAAGGTGGGTGTGCAATGTGAAAACTAGACCAGAGGCGTCGACACGTTCTCTGTGCAAGTGAACGATTTTAAACTGATGCCTGAATCAATAAAGATCTTCTCTCTCGTGGTATCATCGGAGCCGTTGTGTGACTTTTGATGTCTCCACCCCCTCCCATCCCGACCCCCCTTCCCCGACCTCCCCCCTTCCACTTTTCGGTCTTGTGCTCCTCTGTTCATGGAATATAGTTTGTTTTCCCATTATCCCGTTGGGCCCCTTCTATACCCGTGACCCCCCCCTCCTCTGCACGGTTTGCATTGCCCTACGACGGCTGTGGGTTTTATATACTTCCCTAGGAGCGCGGCAGGCATGGAGTGAGTGCTCGTTATTGAAAAGTGTTATCTCCTTTTAGACTTTATACCAATCCCCAACGTGAAGTCCCACACAACCGCGGACAGGTACCAAACGTTTTAACAGAAACTATCCGTGTCATATGTTATTCTCTTCATTGCAGTGTCAAATCGATTTCCCTTGGCCAAGGTCAAGGTCCTGTTGCGGATAAGATGATTAAAACAGCCGTTAAAGTCGGGGAATGGGTTTTCTTGCAAGTGAGTTCTCCATACGTTGGGGGTGGGGCTTGCGGTGATGGTGACATATTCTTTGGGGCTAAATCAATGGCACTTGTTTTTATTTCTTATATATTTTGATCTCGTTCTATAACCTAAAAAAAATATATATTTTGTTCTTAAAAGTGAAACATAACACGTTTTCTAAAAGACACCAAACTACTGAGTTTTCAAAAAGGACACCAAAGAAATTCGAGGGCATGAAGACATGCTTATATCTATGTGTCCCACAGAACTGCCACTTGGCAGCCTCGTGGATGTTGGCCATGGAAGACATCGTCAAAGGCATCCAAGAATTCCCACAGCCAGTTCATCAGAACTTTCGACTGTTCTTATCCTCCATGCCCGCAAAGCATTTCCCGGTCAGCGTGCTGCAGAACAGTGTCAAGGTCACGAACGAACCCCCGAAAGGCATCAGGGCGAATTTAAGGAGGGCTTTCTCCGAGATGACAACCAAATTTTTCGAGGACCACGGTAAGTAATGTTGCTCCTGGTTGGTCTACAAATTCACATTGTTTCTTGGCCGACAACTTCAAATTGCTTGTTGGCTAACAAATTGACATTGTTCCTTGGCCGACAAGTTCAAATTGCTTGTTGGCTAACAAATTCACATTGTTCAAATATCGTGAAGACTTTGCGAGACTCGCTGAAACATGAAAACATTTTTAACAATTACCCATTAATGTGGTTGAAAATTGCTTGAAAATTATCATACTTTAAAACCCAACATGTCAGTGGCGTTTCTCCAAAGTTTCGATCGGTGGACAAGTTTAGAGGAATGTTTGGCAGGTATGATCCTACTTGTCATCTCGTGCGCCCACGCAAATGAAGCTAAATATACCAGCGGTTTTTTTTCTTTATATTTTCTAAATATTTTTTATTAATATTTAATTTCAAAAGCAAGTAATGGACCTTGAGAATTTTTTTAAAGCTGCCCTGCAGCTGCCCTATAGCTGCCCCTCTCAAGGGAACAAAATTGCCTTATTTGTCAAATTGTGATTAAGTTGGTGAATTACTTTTTTTGTTTTAAATTAAATAATCCATCAATTCCAATCCACACAGTTTTGGGTCAGGACTGGAAGAGAGTTATATTTGGCATCTGTTTCTTCCACGCTGTCATACTGGAGAGGAAAAAATTTGGTCCTCTGGGCTGGAACATAACGGTAATTGCTTGTGTCACGTTTTATGGGCGTGTGGTCAGTACCAGGGGAGTAATTTACCCGTTGGAGGGATTTTTTCTTTAAATTTCAGAGACCCTTTTGTCTGTTGTTCATATATGCAGAAGTAAGCCTCTTAAGCTAGTGTCTCATTGCAACAATGGATCGTTCGAATTGAGGCGTTACATTGGCTGCCGGTCCGTGGTCGCATAGAGTACAAAATTGCACCTCTGTGCTACCGCTGCTTGCATGACCTGGCGCCGTCATATCTCAAAACGCTCATGCCGCCTTATGTACCCACTAGACAACTCCGCTCCTCCGATAGTGGCGAACTCTCGATACCGCGTGTTAGCCTTGAGACTCACGGAAGGCGCACTTTCGCATTTGTTGGCCCAACAATTTGGAACACCCTTCCTGTCGCTCTCAGAAACAGCGAGACACTGGAATCCTTCAAAACCGATTTGAAAACACATCTATTTCGCAAACATCTGCTGGGGTGATGGTGTCTACAAGCTTTTCCAGCGAGCTATTATCTCCTAGATGTAAAATGGCTTGTGTTGTTTATAGTTGCAAGGGATGAAAGACTTATAATGGTTATGCTCATTTGTAGTTTTTGTAGTGTTGCGTTTTGTATTTCTATGTGGTAAAATATAGATTGTTTTCATTTCTCTTTTAATATGGTTGACTTTCTACCGCGCTTCGAACCTTTGGGGATGAAGCGTGATTTTTTTAAAATAAACTTTATCTTATATTATTATGTTGACTCTATTAAGCAGTATTTCTTTGCGGTAACATAAGATGCGACGCATGACTAAATCCCTATAATAACATTGAGGTTGGTCGTTATTTCAGTACGCCTTCAGTGACAGCGATCGGGAATGTGCGCTACTGAACATGGAGATGTTCTGTAAAGACGGCTACATCCCTTGGGACACTCTCATCTACATTACGGGGGAGGTAGGCTACTCATATAATATACGAGAAGGGTTATAGCCCGGATACGAACTCTTTTATATAATATATATATATATATATATATAATCGCGGAGTAATTTATTTCAAAAAACTGGTAAAACATTTGTATTGTTCCCTCGAGTCCATTCACTGGGCATAATGGAGACAGTTACAGGGCAACCGTTTAATAATAATTGTTTTTACTCATCTGTCTGTGTTTACGATTTTTCCCACACAGCAAGGCCCAGACTTTTAGATGTTTTAGGTCGCTCTGTTACCTTCTCCATACTTGTGAAACCTTTCACATAAACCTATTAGAGGGTTAGGATGTGGGGATTTGTGATTTTTAATTTAAAAAATAACGCTAAACTTTTTTTAATACTTTTGGTATAAACCGCTGGCATTTAAAAAAAAAAAAGTATAAAAAATATCCGCTTTCTGATAACAGTCAGCTCTATTCATCCATCCAAGCATTTGGTATTGATGGTACTGTTAGTCTGGTATTAATATTTTACTGCTCATATCGTGTTGATATTTTACTGCTCTTGATTGTTAACGCTGACCTGCTGAATCCCACCAAAAAAAATAATAACAATTACAGATTACATATGGTGGTCGTGTAACGGATGCGCAGGACCAACGGTGTCTCCGAACTATACTCAAGCTGTTCTTCAGACAGGAAACGTTGAAGCCCAAATACAAGTACTCGGAATCTGGTGAGTATCTGGTCAGTACGTCTAAACGGGAATGTCCGCAAATACTTTGGAAAAAAAACCAAATAGACTGACCAATAGTTGTCCAATATAAACAAAAATGTATATCGTCGTTACTGAAGATCAAGGTAATCAAATGAGTGAGTACGTCGACTCTGGGGTAGAACTATTATGAAAATTAATTCATATATCTTCTTTTTGAATGGAATTTGTAATATTTTTTTCCGAACAAGTATGGGAAATCATAGATATATTCATTTTTTAAAAGTCAATTAACTTCCTCTATCCCCCACCCCCACACCTTTCTTTTTTTTTTTTAAAGAGGAGCCCCTATGGTTTAAATATAGTTAAAGTTCCTCACCAATTTAAAATCTGACCCTGCTTGTGGTGGACCTGATGTTGGGTGAGAGGCGGTCGTCCAAAGACTCTCTGGGATATGGGTTGTATTTTATTTCTCGAGACAAACGTCGCACTTATGGCCGTCATGTACAGAACAATACAGTGGACTTAGTCGATACCCACGAAACTCTTTATTTTTATTTTGCCAGGTATCTACTACTCGCCCTTGTCAAAGACCCTGGCCTCCTACAGGGCGTACATCGAGTCGCTGCCCCTCATCGACGAGCCCGAGATCTTCGGAATGCACGAGAACGCCAACATCGCCTTCCAGATGAACGAGACGAACGCCCTCCTAGGCAAGTGTGGCGCCCGGCGGTGGTGGTAGCAGGCATCGGGGGCAGCTGGTCCGGGGGGGGGGGGGGGGGGGTGGCAGAGAATTAGAATAATGCTTCACTTCAATAGCAACTTGAACACACACACACAAATGGGACAGTCATCAAATGTTGACAAATGCCATCATCATCAAAGTTCACAGACAGCACAATCATTAATACAACACAAACTAGAATAATCTTAACCCACGACTGTGTGACATATAATATATAACGAAGAATCAAAGACAATCGAGTTTGTTATAGAGGATAACTAAACGAAACAAACTTATCTGGGCCACTGGAGAGCTCTAGAGTCTAGATTCTCTCAATGGCCTGATCATAAAAAATATGGTTATTCTTTAAAAATTTAAAATTACTAATTTCAATTTTTAAATCACAAATTTATTTGTGTTGATGAAAGGTATAGTATCCCTCATTCTTTCTATATATCTCTGATTAAAACTGTTCTCATGATTTAAAGAACACATTTTCTTTATTTTTCAAGGAACTGGGTGTTTTCCAATCTATCAAGTAACCATTATATCTACCATTGTGTGTGCGTTCGAAGAACTAGGTTTTATTTCAATTTTGTTCTACACGTTTTATGTCACATCTCTCTGTATGTTTTATAAAATTATTTCGTTTCTGTGCGCTCCAGGGACGATACTAGAAGTTCAGCCTCGAGTGGGGGGCGGCGCAGGGGGGTTGTCCAACGACGATATTGTATTCGATCTGGCCAACGCGATACTGGACAAACTCATGGACAAACTGGACATCGAGCAGGCTGACCCAGCGATGTTTAATGTGAGTAAAGTACGGTCACCAATGAGTATGCCATGTGCCCGATGCCCGCACATTCGAGATTTATGTACAGAGGCGTATGGAGGGGGCGGGGGGGGGGCCTCGTCCATCCCTGCCGGACGTTTTTTTCTCGATATGGAAAGCCGACATTTTCGGTCAACTGCGGAGATATTCTTTTATGGAAGAGGTGGCAAAAGTTTCCCACCCCCCCCCCCCCCCAATCCATGATGGTACTAACGCTAGAAACGCCACTGTATGTAGTAGGTAGTAGATGTATAGAGCAATGCTTTTTTTTTTTAAGTTATTTATTTAAAATTTAGATGATAAGACGCATGAAAATATTTACTGCGCAAATCTGACATTATAACCCTTATCGGAATGTCTTTCAGGGGATGTGGAGTTCAAATCGATGTTTAGAATTACGTCACGTTAACTTATCGTGTCTTTCAGCTTTGAGTAGTTTCAGAATATTTTTTTTCCTTTACAGACTGACCACAAAGGTCGCCAAAACTCACTGACCATCGTGCTGACACAGGAGACGGACAGATTTAACAAACTTCTGAGAGTAATTAAGGTAAGCAAGGTCATGGTCGCGTGGCGTAAATTATATGTTAATTTCAGGACTTAAAGAACGGTCCGTTTTCTCTTTGGGCTTGCAGGGCTCCTTTGTGACCATGCCGTTAGAGAATGTTTCAAATTAAAACACCATTGAAAATACATTGACGAAGAAAACGAGCTAACGAATAACGAATTCAACATGGAGATGGATCAGTGCGACACCATTACGAAAACTGTTAAGAATACTAAATAATTTGAAGAATAAGGGCTAACACTGTAGATATATAAAGAATTATTTATTTTTTTTTTAATACCGGAACATGCGAGAAAGAATATCGCAATTATTATTCCCTAGGACTTAACCGGGTGCAGATTTTTTTACACAAGTTCCGGGTATTTTGAGAAACTTCCCGGTGGGTCCAAGTGTTCAAAAAAAAAAAGAATTAACTTCTCATTTCCTATAATATGCAACGAAATCTCCCGCCCTGTGGCGTAGTGAGAGTATGTTTCCTCCTTTGTCAACCATTTGTGTCAAGAAATCGCCCACTGAACGGAATATGCCAAGTTGCCGGATCCCGGAACGGAGGTGACGTTGTACGAAGACCCGTCGACGGAGAAGATACTGCCGTTCATTTTATAACAAAGGCTTGGGGAAACAACAGTCGCAGTATAACGAAAATAGCAATACATTCCTGTACCAGGCACGGAAAAGACGCACAGGTGACTCATGCCCGAAATTAAAGGTTCTGTGTGATATGCAGCCCCATAGAATAAGGATGTGAAAAAAACAGACATTTCAAAAAAAAATCCTTGCTAAGAAAAAAAATCAGCCTTGCAGACATTACACATGAAGCTCTGGCGTGTGACAGATGAACACGAACAATAACAGCACCGAATAAGTGTCGCCTCCCTTCAGACGGCACGCATGAGGCTCGCTAACTGGCAGTCTTTCTTTTCACTCGGTACTATTAAAAAATTTTAAAATGTGGGGTTGCGGAAGACGTGGTTTTGAAGAGGAAGCACGGCGCACAAGATGCACAAATATGAAGAGATGTGTAGAGAATTAACGATCGAAAAAAAAAAAAAAAAAAAAAAAAAAAAAAACCCTGGGTGGGCTTGAACCACCAACCTTTCGGTTAACAGCCGAACGCGCTAACCGATTGCGCCACAGAGACGGCTTACACATTCATAGGCTTATAGTAATTTTACACGGTAGCTTTGTTATCTAAACTTTGGATACCTAGGGGCACAGACAGTTTCCCCTGTACGGTAAAGTCCCGGGATTAATCTAATCTCTTTTGTATGTAAATCGGAGAGCCAGCTGTTTAAGTTGTCTAATTTATAGTATCGTTTTCATAAATAATATTCGAATCTGCCTCCTTAAACTCTATTATAGAATATGTTTGTTCTCTTGTGTGGTCCCAGCAGATGGCGATCAGAAAAGAAAGATCGATCTTTTACCTATTGCTCAAAATGGTCTTGTGTGATCTCTCAGGTTTTCCTCTACTCTGTGTGTTATATTTCATCGTAGCAATAGCCCGCCAAACAATAGCGGCCTCAAAGGTTGAATTTCCCATGCCCATCCACTCAAGCTTCTAGACAAAACATGTATTCAAGAAACACACTTTATAAGATTCCCAATTAGTATTACTACCCCTTCACCATCGGGTATGCCATAGGTTGAACGATATAAATATTCTTATGTCACATCCCCCCCCCCTTTTTTTTTTACACCGCAGATTTATTACCCCAACTATTTCCGTAAAGCGAAACAAAATATTACATACCAAACGCAGTTGCGGTATTTTTAAGAATCCCATCTTTAAACCGCACTTATCGGGAATTTTATTTCTTACTTCTAGACAAAACATGTATTCAAGAAACACACTTTATAAGATTCCCAATTAGTATTACTACCCCTTCACCATCGGGTATGCCATAGGTTGAACGATATAAATATTCTTATGTCACACCCCCCCCCCCTTTTTTTTTTACACCGCAGATTTATTACCCCAACTATTTCCGTAAAGCGAAACAAAATATTACATACCAAACGCAGTTGCGGTATTTTTAAGAATCCCATCTTTAAACCGCAGTTATCGGGAATTTTATTTCTTGAAACCAGCGCCTTCTGGTGGCGTTAGTGACACTGTTGCTGACACTTTTACATAGAGACTTGTGTATTGCGGTTGCTGCAACTTGTATTATAGAACATGCTTTTTTATTGTATAATCTCATCTCCTGAGAGCGAGTATCAACTCATTCCCTGTAGGGGGAAAACAGCGCCTTTGATGTTAGTGTGTTTATGAAAACGCACAGCCTGAACGCTGTACGCGAACTTTGTGGGTGTGTGTGTGTGTGTATGTGTGTGTGTGTGTGCGTGTGTGCGTGCGTGCGTGCGTGCGTGCGTGCGTGCGTGCGTGCGTGCGTGCGTGGAAAATATCTACATGGCATTCGTCCGTCACAATGTGACGATGGTGCAGACTTCGCAGGACGAAATCACAAGGCTTAGATTTTTGTTTCTTTAGAACTATAAGCTGGTTCCCCAGACAGCCAATCGCCTCTCTCCATGCACCTGGATAAACTCAAGGGAACATTTTTATATGGATGATTCAGCTTGGAACCAGAGGCGTCGCAGGTGTTGTCGGAATATTTCGTTGCATTAATGTATCCGCATACGGGACTATTTCTCCGGGTTTTGATTCAGAGTTTCCTTCTCTTAGATGAGTTGCCATCCAAGGTCAACGGGTCCCATCCACCCGTGTGAAGAATATCCACTGGATTAAGTTGTGTTATCTAACGTTATGGTATAAAGTGTTGACCACAAAAAAAAAATTAAAAAAAAGAAAAGAAAAGAAAGTTATCATAGAGGTGTCTTACATCATGGGCGTGTCTTACCTGGTGTCTTCTATTGTTTAGAGGTCT